GGGGGGGAGGAGGAAGAAGAGGATGAAGAGGACAGCAAAGAGCAGCAGGAAAAGGAAGAGGAGATGGATGAGGCTGAGGAGGATGAGGAGGAGGAAGGAACGGCCTCGGGTGAGGAGGAAGAAGAGGAATGGGTCGGTGATGAAGAACGGACAAATGAGGAGGAGGAGAAGAAGGATGAAGATGAGGAAGGTGGTGAGGAGGTGGATGAGGAGGAGGATGGAAAGATGGAGGAGGATGGTGATGAGGAAGAGTTTGAGGGAAACGAGGAGGAGGTTGAGGAGGATGAGCGGGAAAGGAAGGGGAAGGGCGGAGGAGGATGTGAGAGACGCGACGAAGATGAGGAAGAGGCACGAAGAAGAGGAGGAAGAGGGCGATGGGGATGGTGGTGGTGAGGTTGAGGAGGAGGAGGAGGAAGATGAGGAGGTTGGGGAAGGAAAAAGGATCTTGCGATGGAGAAAGAAGATGATGAAGGGGCTGAGGATGGTGATGGTGAGGATGAGGGTGGTGAGGAAGAGGAGGAGGTGAGGAGGAGGAGGTGGCGACGATGAGGAGGGTGAGAATGATGAGGACCGTGAGGATGAGGATGATGGAGACGGTGAGGATGATGACGGAGGTGGGAAGGACCAGAATGAGGATCGTGAGGTTGGGGATGGTGGAGGATGAGGATGGGTGTGGTGAGGATGATGAGGATGGGGAGGGTAGCGATGAGGAAGATGGTGAGGATAAAGATGAGGAGGAAGATGATGATAAGAAGGAGAATGAGAAGGGTGAGGCTGAGGATGCTGAGGATGAAGATGGTGAGGATGAAGAGGGCAGGGCTGGGAATACCATGGATGGTGAGGATGAGGATGATGGGGTTGGACAGGATGAGGATGATGGGGTCAATGACCATAAGGATGAGGATGAAGATGGTGAGGATGAGGATGATGAGGTTGAGGAGGAGAATGCTGAGGATGAGGATGGTGGGGACGGTGAGGATGAAGATGAGGATGGTGAGGAAGGTGGCGAGGATGAGGATGAAGAGGTTGATCATAAGGATGAAGGTGGTGAGGATGAGGATAATGAGGTTGAGGACGATGGTGAGGATGAGGATGGTGGGGATGGTGAGGATGAAGATGGGGATGGAAGATGAGGATGATGAGGTTGATCATAAGGATGAAGGTGGTGAGGATGAGGATGATGGGAGATGGAGAGGATGAGGATGATGAGGTTGAGAAGGAGGATGGCGAGGATGAGGATGGTGAGGATGAGGATGGTGAGGATGAAGATAGTGAGGATGAAGATGAGGATGGTGAGGATGAAGATGACAATGGCAAGGATGAGGATGATGAGGATGACGATGATGAGAATGAAGATGAGGAGGATGACGAGGATGAGGATGAAGATGACAATGGCAAGGATGAGGATGATGAGGATGACGATGATGAGAATGAAGATGAGGAGGACGATGAGGATGAGGATGAAGAGGGTGAGGATGGAGATAAAGACAGTGAGGATGATGAGGTTGAGAATGAGGATGAAGATGAACATGGTGAGGAGGATGATGAGGGTAAGTAGGAGGATGGCAAGGATGAGGATGGTGAGGATGAAGATGACGATGGCAAGGATGGGATGAAGATGATGATGAGGAGCAGGATGACGAGGATGAGGATGAAGAGAGTGAGGATGAAGATGAGGAGGATGGCGAGGATGAGGATGAAGAGGGTGAGGATGAAGATGAGGACAGTGAGGATGATGAGGTTGAGGAGGAGGAAGAGGATGAAGAGGGTGAGGAAGAGGATGGTGAGGAGGAGGACGGTGAGGACGAGGATGGCGTGGCCGCAGAATCCCCCCACCCCTCCCCACCACTCACCTGAGCAGCCCCCTCCCCTCCGACCCGAAACTGGGGCAGGGTCTCCAAGCAGAAGACGACGATGGAGACGAGGATGACGAGGACGGAGAGCAAGGCCACGGCGCGGGCGGCCGGCGAGCTCTCGGGATGCTCGCACAGCAACCACGCCCGCCGTCTCAACCTC